ATGAGATGTTTCTGTAGATTTATTTTTTTTTAATTATTACTGCAATTTGATTAAATTTTTACAAATAAATAAAATGAACATTTTACTAAATATGTTTAACCCGTTAAAAGCAGAAGAGTCTTTAAAGTGTGTGAATAAGAGAAGTATTTACCTGAGGTCAGATGCTGCAGCAGAGCAAACTCAGGCAGATTTAACACAGACGATGATCAACTGCAGATCTTATAGTCGTGTTCGTGCATTTATTAATAACTTTAGGAGGATATTTCCTGGAACGAGCACAATTTTCAAAACAACCTTAAACCAGTTATTTGTTTTTCATCTGTGATCAGAATGTTTGTGATTTAAGTTGATTGACTTCTGCATTTGTCTGCAGTCACTGTGACGTTCTTTCACTTTGTGCTTGAACAGATGTAAATGTAGACGGAATGATGAGCAGCCAGTTTTATATTTCCTTCTCGTAGACGTCCTTACAAAAAATCCTCAAGACCTCAAGGCTTGTAAACACAAAAAACACTTTCATGTGTCTGAATAATGGATATTCGTTATAAAACTCTAAAGGGATGCAGGTGGCCGAGTTTGATGATGTTTGTGTGATGAGTAAATTAAAAAATATAGACTTTATGTACAGTATAATTAATTAATTTTTTCATATGTACAGTCATATTCTTTTTCTTTTTTCAAATATTTTCAAAAATGATGTTTAGGCAAGCTAGATTTTTTCACAGTTTTTCCTTTAATATTTTTTCTTCTGGAGAAAGTCCTACTTGTCTTACTTGTCAGTCTTACTTGACTGCTAGAATAAACAATAGTATCTGGATGCAGCCTTTATGATGCAAGCTAAGATTGCATCACTTAGCCATGTCAGTGTCAATGTCAGTACACAATGCACTCAATAAAGTGAGTAATGTCTCTGTGAGGGTTAGAGTTGAGGTTAGGTGAGCCCATTAAAAAGCATTGGATGCAGCTCAGATTGCACTGCACCAGGTCTGCATCCAGACCACTCTCAGAATAAAAGCAGTTTTTAATTTATGTTTAAGTCACTTTAGGGTCAATATTAAGCAATATTTGTTTTGTGTTGTCTACAGAACAAACCATTGTTATACAATTATTTGCCTAAACGTAAAAACGGGCTGGATAAGTTGCTGGTTCATTCCGCTGTGATGACCCCAGATTAATAAAGGGACTAATCCAAAAAGAAAATGAATGAAGGAATAAATTTAGAACTAGATCGGATGGACTTATTGGGCTGTATTGTGATGTGAAACTTAGCCTACCAGAACTTTTAGCAAAGGTGGAACTTTTTTATTTATTTACGACAAAATAATTATGCTAGAAATGTTTCTGGATGAGGTATTTGTGTGATTTATAGTCATTGATCAAATAAGAAGAATCGGTAACACTTTACAATAGGGTTCATTAGTTAATGCATTTACTAACATGAACTTATCATGAACAACACATGTAAAGCATTTATTCATCATAATTGAACATTTACTAATGCATTATTAACATCCAAGTCAATGCTTGTTAACATTAGTTAATGGACTGAATTAACATGAACTAACAATGAACTACTGTATTGTCATTAACTAACATTAACTAACATGAGCAAATACAGTAGTAAATGTATTGTTTATTGTTTGTTCCCATTAGTAAATGCATTAATTAACATTAACTAATGAACATTGTAAAGTGTGACTGAAAAATTGATAATAACTTTTTTTTAAAATGTAAATAAAACCCTAAATTTAAATATTTTCATCATATACTTTAATTAAACATTTCAGAGCTTGAAAGTATTCTTTAAATCTGGACAAAAAGTGTCTCTATGGCCTTAAAAGTGTGTGGGAGTTTTGCCAGCGCTATTGAAATGATTAATTGTCATGAAACAAAAATCGACCATACCTTGTTAGTACAAATCCCTATACATGTAGCCTTGTGATTTAAGCAATTAAACCATTTAAATAATTTTATACGTAAAAAGGGCCAAAAAGAAAATCCGATTTTTTTTTCAAAAGTAACTAGAACTTATAAAAGAGTCATTTGTAAAATGTAACCCAAGCTCATTGTGGAAACGTAGCCCCGCGGACGTTTCTGGAGACCGCGATTTACATGGCCAGAGGTACCTACGGCCGCGTTTAGTTTTTTCTTGAGCGAACGCTGCGGGGCAATGTGGTGCCGCTCTGCTCCTCCTCTTCGCGCTCGTCGGCCGACGGCTCGCCTCCGAGTGAAGGGCTTTCCCGATGCAACCAGTTTGTCCGCTTAGCTCGCAGCGTTACGTCGGCGGAGCGGAGGCTTGGAGGAGGATGAGCCGGCCACGGGGACGACCAGGATCGAGTCCGAGGAGCAGCGGTTCCAGAATTCAGGTAAGATGAAAAACAGAATCCAAAAAATAAGGGCAAGAACAAGGCGAGATCCGAAAACGCGGTCGAAATCAAAGACGAGGGCTTTTGATTTTTTTTTTTCTGGACGGCTTTTGCAAACCGTTGCTTGGGTTTAAGGAAGGAGGAGGAGGAGGAGCAAGAGGACGGCGGCCGGGTCGGCCGCCTGGTCGATAGTTCGGTCGTTCAGCCAGCCAGTCGGACGGACGGTCGCTCCATAGCAGCCTCCGGCGGCTTTTCGTGCGAGAACAGCACGGGCGCTCGAGATGCGAAAAAGTTTGCACAGCGGCCTCTCGCGGATCCAGGAAAAAACTGCTCAAATACGTACCTCCCGGGACGTATTTCGTGGTCCGCAGAAATGTCCCCGGGGCTGCGTTTCCACAATGAGCCCGGGTTGGTAAAATATTAGTATTATTTACTAAAATGTGTATTATTTTAGCAGTGTAATTGTATACTAACTGGTACAAATATTCTGTTCTCTTTCCATATGTGAGAGAACATCAACAAATAAAATAAAAATTTCACAAGCACATTTAGTCTAATTAATTATTATATTATCAATAATAATGTTTTTTTATTTGTATGAATCGATAGACAGTTCCTATGCAATGTTTTTATAGGTTGCTGAGAATACATTTCAGGTGTTCAATATGTCAGTTTCGAAAATAAAAATTGGTGCTGGAAAAAGTGCTTTAAAGTCTTTGATTTTCATCAGGCTGTGCCTGTATGAACCCTGTGTAAAATCAGTGTCACATTTTCAATCGTGAGGTGATGGTCAATTGTAAGCTCTCTTGGTCGTCAGGTCGTGTGATGTATGTTGCCGAACTGTATTCAAATGTTAGAAATGTAAAAACACCACATTTTGAAATGTACCTGCAGTAGATCAATGTAGTTTATTTGTGTGTGCTGCGCTCATAAACTTAAGGAAACGCTGCTCATTTGTTTGATTTCTCTTTGAGAAGCTGCTCAAGCCTCAAAAATTTAAGGTCCTCGCATCCTCACTGAGTCCAAAACTGTCATATTTGTTTTTTCATATTCGTCAATTGGTGGCTCACAAATGTCAAGAACAACCCTCAAATTATTTGCACTGAGACCCCAACTGCAATGAACCAGCTTTGGGGGTGCCCAGCTTGCAAAAGCTTGAGAACTCCTGCCTAGTAGACTAGTAGTCCTTATGAAAAGATGTAAGAGTATTCAGTGAGAGAGGACACTGTTCTAAATAATGAACTGTTCTGACTTTAAATACATCCGTCTCATGCATCTTTTACACATCGCTTTCTGTTTAGCTAAGACCTAGAAAAATAAAAGGACAAATCTGTGTGATTAAGCAATGACTGAAGTTCCCCTCGTGTTACCAGACAACAATGCAACCAGTACATCAACATTCTACAGAACCATCAGAACTCAAAACAAACACACTGTTTACACTTGAAAACCACAGCACCAACATCAATGTGTTACATTAGGTGAAGAGAGTGCGGATCCAAATGCAGGTTTATTAGAGCAAACAGATGTATACTGGAAATTAAGAGTCATGGTCGATAAACAGGCAGATGGTCAAAAAGGCAGGAAGCAGATGGGAATAAACAAACAAAACAAAGCTAGGGTCTAACACAGCAAGGAAAAACAAGGAAAACACGTTATAATGTTCAACAGTTCAACAAGACTCAGCACTGATATATGTGTGTGCGCTCTATTAATAGTTCATGCAATCAGTCTTTGACAGTCCTCCGGCTGTGTGAATGCAATCAGTCAGGAACAGAATCCAGTTGTGTGTGTGTGTGTGTGGTGCATGACTGGATCTTGTAGTCCATAAATGGTGGATTTGTAGTCCATTACCAATCTGTAGCTGTTTTTTTTTTTTTTTTTGTCATTTAAAGAGCATGTTAGTGATATGTGCACCTAGCCGGATCCAAAATGTGCATACATATTGCTTATTACTAGACTCAGGGATGCACAGAAGCACAGAAATATCTTTATATGGGAAAAATTAAAGGATTCAAATGTAAAAGAATAATAATTGTCTACATGAATATACAAACCACTATCTCCTCCAATGCCTTCAGCATCACCTCAGGAGGCTTTGGAGGAATCTGCTTTGTGCTGATGGTCTGCTGCATTCTAATGAGTTTCTTCATTCTATTGAATTTAAATTACACAATCTAATAACTATAAATCAGTTGTTGATGCAAAGGGTGGCACGGTGGCTCAGCAGTTGTCATCATCCCCTACAAGCAAGAAGGTCGCTGGTTCAAGCCCTGGGTGTGACAGTTGGCATTTCTTTGTGGAGTTTGCATGTTCTCCCCGTGTTGGCGTGGGTTTCCTCTGGGTGCTGCGGTTTCCTCCACAGTACAAACACATGCGCTATAGGTAATACATGTGTTGTGTTGCCATGATGAGCAAACAGCTTTAAAGATAGCTGTAAACTTTCTTAATTTGACTGAGAGAAATTACAGCAAAATGACAAAATGCAGAATGTTATATCACTTAAATTTTTCCCCCATACAGCTTTTTAATCTTTATATTAAATGCTTGAAACATCTGTTGAACACACAATGTTTTCAGATCACAATTACTATAAATACAATATTTAAACTTTAGGATTGAAAAAAAATGTCTGATCTTTGTTACTATAGCACATACACCCAAATAATTATAGAATTAACCTGCTGAATTAAATGTGTAAAATATTATGTCATGTAAATTGCTGTGCCTCAAGAAATAATATTTATGGAATAAAGAAACACCACAACCAGTTCCACATCCATTACAATCAACCAAACTAAGAGTTGCACTTTCTGTGTCAATAAACTAAGACAGGGTGAAGAAACTCATCAGAGGAATGAACAACAGCACCAGAGAAGCACACAGACAAGAAGCCTCAGAAACCTTCACTTGGTCTGGGAGAAACTGAACATCTGTGAACAGAGAATATCAGTCAGTCTGATGAAATAAAATATTATTTACAGCTGAATCCCACAGTGTTGAGGAGCAGCTCGACATGGAGATCAACAATTAGTTTAACTGCATTCCATCACTGCATTCAGACATATGAAATGCTGACCTGTGTTTCCTCCAGACCACACTAGAGGACCCATAGATAGTGACGCACTGTCATGGAGATCCAGAGCCCTGCGCTCTCTCCGCTGCTCTCCAGAGTCACAGCTCTAGAAGAGAAAAGAGTCAAATCCAGCTGTGCAAATCCCTGATAAACATCACTGAACAAACACAAAACCAACAGGAGTGCACAAAATCCCCAGCAGAGGGCAGAACAAACATGTTTAACAGCCTTCATCATTAAACCTCAACACCATCATATCTCCCTGTCTGTGTTTAGTGCTGAAACATCAGTGGGAGATTCTGAAGACTTTTTAAACTCACCGTTGAGCATTGTCCGCTGGACAGAAGGCAAAGGTGAACAGCACAGTGCAGGTAAAGCTTAGTGGAGTTTGCAGTGAAGATGAACATCCTGAAGGAGAAACGGCTGCTTGTGGAGACGCCGTTCTGCAGCAGCTTCACTGTGCCCTCCTTGGGATTGGGACACCTGACGAGATCAACAATTACAATCAACAAACCAAATTATTTCATCAAACACATTCAACTCAGAAGTGAAAATTTCCAGTCAATCATTTCACAAAAACTGGAATGTTGACTGTCTAAAACACTGAAAAGATACAAATCTCAGTAGTTCCTAAAGTAACATGAATTATTATATATTCAGAAGTAGATTTTATTAAATGAAGAGAGAAGTCTTTACCCTTCAATGATGAGGTCCCATTGGAGACTGTACGTAGGGTCATTCTCAGGTGTAGCCCAACAATCGTCTATCACCAGCGCAAACTGGTGGCTGTCGACCCCCTCAACACCAACCTCCACATGCATCTCCTGGTCCAGCTCTGCATCCACTCTACCAGTGAAGGGCTGAGTGAACTCTTCATCCACATACGGGACCATCCGCACATGATAAACCCCTTCACCACTGGGGAGGACCTTGTGCACAGTGCTGTAAATAATGAACACATAAACTCCTGATAAAATCTTAATACCAGGTGAAAATAGACAACTATTCACATTTCACACTGCTGGATGGTTGAAGTACCGCTTTAAAATACCAAAAGAAGAAACAAAAGTGCCAAGATATAGAGAGCAGGTAATGTATAGAAATCTCTATATTGACTGATCAAAAGTTTGACTTTAGTGATTCACCATTCATTCATTTTCTACTGCTTTTTTGGGGTTGGGTCAGAGGGCAGCAGTCTCATGCTGTATTCACACCAGACGCGGAACGCGTGGATAAATCGAACATTTGAGTTTACTCTCTTCATTCGCGCTTCAAACTCCGCTTCATTCGCCCTGATTGGTTAACGCGGCACGAATGTCCGCTTAAGTTCAGATTTTTGAACTCGAGCAAACAAATCACAAAAAAACAATGACTTGTTTGACTTGTGCGAAAAATTAGCACAAGTCAAACACGCAAAATGCTCAATTCACACCATGCAATTCGCGCAATTCACGCCATTCGCACGTATCGCGCCGCAGGATGTCTATTCGCGCGTCTGCATTGACTTAACATATAAATTGCGCATTCCGCATCTGGAGTGAACGCAGCATCATGAGAGAACCCCAGACTTCCCTCTCCCCAGACGACCAAAACCCGGGGGGATCCAGAGGTGTTCCCAGGCCATTTGAGAGACATAGTCCCTCCAGCTGTCCTTGGTCTTCCAGACATGTCCCACTGGGAGAAGGTATTGGAAAACACCTGTCTAGGTAGGCTTCAAGGAGCCATCCAAAAAGAGATGTCCGAGCCACCTCAGCTGACTTCTCTCGATGTGAAGGAGCAGCGCCTCTACTCCAAGCTTCTCCCGGGTGACAGAGCTTCCAGTTGGGCTATGACAACTTGCGAAGGAAACTCATTTTGGCCACTTGTAGCTGAGCCCTTTCTGTCATGACCCAAAGCTCATGACCATGGGTGAGAGTAGGAACGTAGATTGACCGGTAAATCGAGACCAGTTTGACCATAGTTTTTCAGAAATCAGTTTCGAGAGGACCACGTGTTTATGATTGATCATGGCTGGTCTCACATTAATAATCCCATGATACATCAATCAGATGAATCCAAACACACACAAATAGCCGGATTTCTTTACCTTAGCCTTCTACTTCTCGAAGAATCCCCCCATCCACCCTGACTCCTTCCCCTCTTTCCTAGCATAATCCAGGATACTTTTTGAGACCTTCTTGAGCTCAGACTCCCCTCTCTCCTTACTAAACGGGAGGCAGCCTCGGGCTCAAGGATCTTATGAGCTCAGGGCTCTCTCCTGGGACAGCATACCAAATACGCTTATTATCAATCATCAGCTAAGTGTGAACTCTTGAAATCTGCACAACAACATGGCTTTTATTTTACTGTCATTCATGCAGTCACTCTGTCATGACCTCCTGAGGCCAAATTGACAAAGACTTTCTCTCTTAGGCCTTGGTCACACATGTTGTATTAACGAGTTTAAATGATCTGACCACAAGTGGACAATGCTAAGTACAAGTGTAAATGTGTTGTGAAACATTTTAAGAGTCCACATTTGACTGCATCCAGAGGTGGTTTAAAACACATTGAACAAGATTATTCTTGCAATGAGAACACATTGTGTTTGAATATGTCTGATAAGCCACTAAACACTGCTTGCACTCCACTGCTGAGTTCATTCATGGACCCAGCGGGACGCGCTGAAGAAGCACACTGGAGAGACAGATTGAAGTCCTGTTTTACACTAATATTTTTTAGTTTTAAACAGTAAAAGTTTTTTTTAGTTTTTTAAGTTTTTCTATGTTATGCCATTTGTCCACACTACGCCAGAGTTTTTGAGCACCTAAAAGTGAGCTTTTTGAAAACACTGAAGAGGCCATTTTCATTTTAAAATGCTGCTGCTCCATGTGAGTGTGGATGGGGGGAAATGGAGACATCTGAAAACGGAGCTGCAGACATTCACCTATCTGATTGGGGCTTTTTCTTCAATATTAAGTAGCCTACACAAAGTTCAGTCCTGCATCCTCTCCTTATAAGTTCGAACATCGCAAGTTTGATATGGAAAACAAACTCCCGAGGACACGTCAGGAAAATCTTTAAGTGAAGTTTATGTATAAACTAAGTTCGAGAGGATCACGTGCTTATGATTGCTAGCTGCTGGATCCGCATTATCCAATTTACTATGCTCCAATCAGATGACTCCTTAACTACCATAAATACCCTGGGTTTCATTTCACTGCTATCTTCGTTTTGAAGAGTCCCCCCTTCCACCCCTATTCCTTCTTCTTCCTAGATGGGTGACACGGTGGCCCAGTGTGTAGCACTGTTCCCTCACAGCAAGAATGTCTCTGGTTCCAGGCTTTACCAAACCAGCAGACATTTCTGTGTGGAGTTTGCACTTTCTCCCCGTGCTTACGTGGGTTTCCCTCGGGTTCCCCGGTTCCTCCCAACTTCCAAAAACATGCAAATTAAGTTAATTGACTAATCGGCACCATAGACATGCTTCTAGTATGTAATTAACTCCAAGAGCAATCACTTACTGTTCATTGGTTACTACAGCAGGGGAGTTCTCGAGATCTACCTGAGCTCAAACTCCCCTCCCCCCTTGCAACGGGAGGGAACCCTGGGCTCGAGGATCTCATGAGCTCAGGGCTCTCTCCCGGGACAGCATGCCAAACAAGCTTTTATAATCAATCATCAGCTAAGTGTGAACTCTTGAAAGGAACTTTATAACCACATTCCTATCGTCCGCGCTACGTTCTTTCTAAGCAATAAAATTAAAACATAATATAAGGAACAGCCTATTTTCATTTCATATTAGCAACGTAACAGACACTAAAAATGTTGAGGCGTCCTGAAGCTGCATGTTTATATGACCATCATCTTCACTGTATGCATAAAACAAATCCTATAACATCACTGCTTTATCACTTCATTTTCATTGAAAATACAAAACCCTCTCCTTTTCCTTTTGTTTAATATCAGTTTTAGTAACCAATTATGGCCATTTTAGAAGTATAGCTTACACTAAGCTTATACAATATAGGAAATAATGGCAAGCAATCAGTCAAATTGAAATCTCTGAAATTCCTGCTCCCTGTCAAGGACACCTGTTGGACTCTACAGGCCTAAGGCTGATTTATACTTCTGTGTCAAACGCCGGCGTATGCTACGGCGCTGACGCATAGCCCTTCGCCGTGGCAGTCGGCGCTGCTGACGTGCACCTCTCAAAAAATGTAACTACATGTCGCAACGACGCGTAGCGCAAGCTCTGTGATTGGTCGGCTTGGTAGCGCTGACAAGTTTGGGCGGGACTGAGAGTCGGGTGAATGGTGCGAGCTTGATGGAGCGATTGTTTACAAGTGTGGAGTCCCATGAAGGAGCTCCAGATGGAAAGTTTTGTTTTGAGTTTACCTCATAGGTAAAGTTGTTGCACGTCCGCCGGTTCTTGCCTCAAAATGAGCGAGTTTGAGCCACTTGTACATCCAGGAAGTGTTCAGGAAAAGCAAAACAGCAGAGAAGAAACTCGACACAGAGGAACATTAACACCTCACTGCCAACTAGCGTTTTGGAAATGTTAATGCAGACCAACAGAGACAGCGCGCAGAAGTATAAATGCACAGCTATGCGCGTTGCATGCGCCGTGGGTTACGCCAGTCACTTGACGCAGAAGTATAAACCAGGCTTTACACACACACACATACACAGCTACAGATAGACAATTACTACCTATTCCCTTATCCCACGCCTTCGTGTGCCTTCACTCACTGGAGGGGGCAAGTCTGCGACCAGCGCCCCATGGCTGCAGGACTAGATAGCTGCCCACCCTCATCGGACTACATCCCCAACCCCTGTTCCCATCCCCTATGGCAATGTTGTCTTGTCTGTGTTTTTGTGCATGAATTGCTGGCCTTTTTTCTCCCTGGTCTCACTTTGCCCTAATTCAAGAGCAATGTGAGAGGGTGTTGTTTTTGCCTCCCTCTCCTGAAATGTATCTTAATTCCTTTTGTAAATGCTACCTCCTGTGACCTGTCTTCCCCTGAAAATTGTGATGTTTGTACAGTTGGGGGGTTCAATTTCACTATACTAAAGTGTTTGTGACAAATAAAGGCCTGATTTGATTTGATTTGATTTGATTTGATTTGATTTGATTTGATTTGATTTGAAATGTGCAGAATCAGTGAATGGGGTTACATTAATTAAGATATTAGCATAACTTATCTTTGAGCTCGGCCAAAATGCATTACGAAGCAGGTAACAGGTAAAATTTTATCACATTTTACCTGTTTTTGTGTTTTTTTTTTTTTTTTTACTCATTTTTATTATTTGTTTTTATTTTTATTTTACTTGTTTCTTTTATTCTTGTTTATGTAAAACACTTTGAATTGCCACTGTGTATGAAATGTGCTATATAATACATTAATACTATATACATTGCCTTGCCTAACTTGATAACAAGTAATAGATTCAAAAGACCAAAGTCCGGGAATATGTTGTTAGATATAAACAACAAGATTAATTAAATATAACGTTTAACAAATAAAGTGAGATTAGATCCAGCGGTAGATCCTTGATGAACAATCTGAAGAGCACAGCTCTCATCACTGCAGTGCATGCCAGATTGTGTGTGTGGTCACGTGATGTGCATTTACTGCAGTATAGTGTGGATGGAGAGTTGTTCTGAAACGCTGAGTGAAACGTCAGTGTGGACGCAGATCATTTGCATTCTAAAACATTGTTTTAAAACTAAAACGAATTAGTTTAAACGAGGCCACCAGTGAGATTCCACAGAACTAAAGACAACAAATGCTGAATAACTAAAAGGTGGAAAACTGTCTAATTTGGCAAACTACACGATAATTAAAACTGAAAGCAGAATGAGTGTGTTGTGGCACCTCTGCAGTGGGTTGATCTCCACGTTCATGGAAAGTGTTTGTGTTTGAGGATAAACACAGCTGAAAGAAAGCTTCAGGATTCTCACTCTGCTGATGAGACCTTCTGTTTCCGACGTCCCCACAATATAGTTACTGTAGATGAAGTGGCTGCCGTTGGCCTGCGGACAACAAAGAGACATTTTATATATATTTTTAAATAATTTTATATTAGAGAACAACATCAGATGTCAAGTGAAATAATTGTGTAATGAGTTAATGGTGGGAAATGCTGGCAAAATGGTCAAAATGGGAGATGACCAGCTAAAACCAGCTTGACCAGCTTAAACCAGGCTGGTCAAGCTGGTTTTAGCTGGATTTGGCTGGTCATTTTCCAGCCTGACCAGCTAAGATCAGGCTGGAAATGGTTGGAAACCAGCCTGGAAATGGCCAAAGCCATTCTAAAACCAGGCTGGTCAACCAGCTAAAACCAGCCAACCAGCCTAGGCTGGTTTAAGCTGGATTTTTTAGCAGGGTTATATTACAGTTCCTTCAACTAACCCTCAGATCAGATGTTGTATTTCAGACATTTCTCAGGTTTTCATCCTCAAACTACTCGTAGAGATATGGAGCTAGAGCAGTGATGGGCAAACTCGGTCCTGGAGGGCTAGTGTCCTACACAGTTTAGCTCCAACTCTAATCAAACACACCTGCTTATAGGTTTCAAGTGATCTTGAAGACACTGATTAGCTTGTTCAGGTGTGTTTGACTAGTGTTGGAACAAAACTCTCCAGGGACACCGGCCCTCGAGGATCAAGTATGCCCATCCCTGAGCTAGAGTATAATGCACTTAAATCCTGCCTGGAGCTACTTTAGCTGTTTGTTTGTCTAAAAAAAAAAATGGCACAGCTTAGAATTACTGTCAGCAAATCAGACTCAAGCATTCAACAGGCCAGTAGTAAAAAATCAGATTTAACACACAGGTAGTTGATTTTACCACAAGGTTTGTGCCACAGATGTGTTGATCGTTGTCGAAGTTAAACTCCACTCTGCCGTTCTGGACGCTTCCTCTGCAGCTGGGGTCATTGAGGTGTAAGTGCTCAGCTGAAAAACCAGCTTCAAAAAGCTGACAGCGAGACACAGACATGGAGCCAGAGCTGCTCTCACAGGTCTCATTGAAATCTGAGAGAAAAACATGATCATTAATGACACAAAAACACCTTTTATTTCACATTTGACTGTAGAATCACACACTAACCAAAGGAGTCTTTTGGTGCTCTGTGCTTTTGGAGGCCTTTGTTACATAAACAGCCATAAACACCATTTTTCATCCCACACCTTTCCTCTTTGGAGCAGTTGAGTTCAGAACAGGGGTTTCTGTCATCTAGAAGGACAAGTCATCAATATTTATTATTAAAAGGTTTTCTGACAATTGTACACAAAAATAAAACCCACATCTTAATATTTGGTGATTTTTACTGTAATGTAGTATGGAGCACCTTTTGTTAAGCTACTTTGGAACAAATGTAATTGTGAAAAGTGCAATACAAATACTCTTGACATGAATTTAGTTCAAATGTTTTGTTTTTTACTGTACTTTTACTACGTTTAAATGCATTCTAAGCACCTCACATATAAATTAGCAAATCAGCTCCATATGCACAATGTTTACTTAAAATTAAACACAAACTTGCAGTCTGTTTCCTATATCTAGTGCAATCCCTAACATTTATTTTTCAATACATAACGTTACTACTAAGCACATAAACATACACACATCACCTCTTTTTTTATCACTATTGTAATAATTTAAACAACCGCTGCAGATTCTGACACTCATAACACTTTAATCTGAGCAATAATCCTGCAGACTGTGATACAGCACATTACATTACCAGATATTATAGTTGTAGTTTCTGTTGTGGTCGTCTCTGGTGTGTCAGTTGTATAGCTAGTGTTAAACATCACATCTAGAAACACAAATAAATGTCAGACAGAAAGCCATCATCTCTAACATAAACAGAAGGCAGAGTTAAATGTGTGTCCAGTACCTGCACAGTATGCTAAATTGCAGGTGGTCGGCCTCACAAACTCATAGACATAAAAACCTCCAGGACAGGCTTTGACTTGAATGGGATTGGACTGGAAATAGCAGCAGTTGTTGCTCCAGTGAGCGCAGACATTACGAGAGACCACTCCATCCTCAAGTGTTGGATGTCCTCCGCTCAGCCACAGTGGAGCATTAGTGCCGCAGCTATACTCATCAACACATGTGTCTGGCATCTGAACACTCTGACCATTAATGAAGAGACGGTACCAGCCGCTCCAGCTCACCGCACTGTCACACATTAACTGAGAGGAATCTTCGTTGCTGGTGGCTCTCCATGGCTCATCCAGGACGTTGTAGTTGTTGCAGGGGTCAACAGGGGGAGCTGTTGGGAGCATATTCATTAGTTATAGTGGTGTTGGCATTTGTCATCCCATGACAGAGCACTGAACAGGCAGCATCATATTTTATGCTCACTGATGAGAAGAGAGAACTGAGTACACTGTAGTGTTGATGGAGTAATGTCTTTAAAGGGTTTAGCAAACCTGGACATACTTTTCAGAGATTTTAACAGATTTGATTCTGTTGAACATCAATTCAGATTGCAAATCTATAATATAAACACACACACACACACACACACACACACACACACACACACACACACACACACACACACACACACACACACACACACACATATATATATATATATATATATATATATATATATATATATATATATATATATATATATATATATATATAACATATATACAAGATTCTATTGATATTTATAAAAAGCCTCAGTAGTAATTTGACACCCCTCATCTAACCTAACATTAATGTCTTATGATGTTGTGTGCCTGCTGGACAATAACTTAATGCACTACAGAATGTTACGTTTACACACACATGCACAAATTACATGTAAACGCATCAGCTTTTAAAAGCGTAATACTCACTACTCTTGAGTACTTTTAAAAGGGCTACTTTTTACTCCTACTTTGAGTAATATTTACAACAGGTACTTTTACTCTACTCACACTACATTTTTAGGCAAGTAATGGTACTTTTACTTGAGTATGATTTTTCAGTACTCTTTCCACCACTGGTCATGTGATGCAATTTCGCGGGTCAGAGTTCACCAAGCTTGAACTTTACAACCCAGCGAAGTGCAAAACTTGCTCCAACACACTTACCTGTAGGTTTCAAACAAGCCTGAAGGACTCAATTAGTTTGATCAGGTGTGTTTAATTAGGGCTGGAACTAAACTGTGCAGAGCTGCGGCCCTTTTGGAACTGAGTTTGACACCTGTGATGTAATAGGTCTGTGAAGAATGCAAGAAAGAAAGATTTACCAGTGGTTGGTGGAGTAATGAAGTCTATGGATGTGATTGGCTGGGTTGTTGTCACTGCCGTGCTGGACTGGTTTGCAGCTTTTGGTACTAAAAACATTTTCATGTCATAATAAGATATTTTTAAACAAAGTCCAGAAAAAATACTAGACTGAAGTGCACATGAATAAATACTCACCAGCACAGTAAGCTCCACAAAACATTGGCTTCACAAGCTCGTACACATAATAATCTCCAGGACAGGCTTTGATTCTTATAGGCTCAGTTGTGTATTCACAGCAGCCGCTCCATCCAGAAGCACAAACGTGACGGAGGACCACTCCATCTTCCAGCTTTGGGTGAGATTCATTGAGCACAATTGGGTAATAAGTGCCACACATGCCTGCATTTACACATGATTCTGGCATCTGAGCACTCTGATTGCTGTAGAACAGCCTGTACCAGCCATTCCACTCCTCATTCCAATCACATTTAGGGTCATAATAGTAAGAGTTATCAGTGGATCTCCAAGGTTCATCCCGACTCTTATAGTTGTAGCAGGGGTCGACACTTGGGGTGGGGAAAGACACTATTATAGAAAAAGAAAACAAGCAGGAAATACTGAAGATTAGATTTCCAAATGATAGATAATGGATCATGTTTAAAAGGTCTGTATTGGTAGGTGTCAAATGCTCATACAATAAACTAACAAAGCATGTCAGACACTGTATAAAGATGAATATACCTGCACAATAGCTTGGACCTGGGATTGAAAGAGGAGGCCTGGTAAACTTGTACACATAATAATCTCCAGGACAAGCTTTGACTTGGATTGGGTTGGATCTGTAGCGACTGCACTGAGCATTACGGGAGCCGAAAACTTCACGTGTAACAACTCCATCTTCTAGTCGAGGATGAGATCCATGAAACCACAGACCAGTAAATCCTCCACATGTCATATAAGTGGCACACCAGTCCGGCATCTGAGCACTCAATCCGTTCATGAAGAGTCTGTACCAGCCATCCCATTCATAATTGTAATCAAATCCATTTACATTGGTATACACAGACGAGGGAGTATGTATGTTTCTCCAGTAGTTGTCAATTGTGTTGTAGTTACTGCACGGGTCATAATCTGTTAGTGAGAAATGATAAGATCAAATCTAGGACCTTGCAAAGAAGCCATAGATCATCAAATCTAGAAGCCACAGATCATCCCACCTGTGACTCCACCCATTATAAACATCCATGTTCATCTTAGTGTGTGTGTGTGTGTGTGTGTATATATATATATATATATACAGGGCTTTACATTAACTTTTTTAATCACCGGCCACTGTTGCTAAAAGTTTTCCAATGTTACTAGCCACTCTGCATTTTTACTAGCCACAATTTTGTTGTTGGGAAAATATATTTTATATGCATGAATTTGACTTTGACATGCTAAAATTACTTGATTTAAATTTTGTGTTATGTCCACATGCGTCCTCATTCATTTCACTTTTTGTGTGTCGAGTATGAGTTTGCTCAATGAGCATGAGCAAATGAGTCATGGTTTCATAGTGTTATATTGCAATTAGTTTTTATTTCACATGAGTTTTTTTAGAGCTCAAAATTAACGATGTACCAAATTTATCTCTATAACCACACAAAACAATAATTTTTTGTTAGCCACAAATTTTTAATGTTTCAAAACAAGCAAAATATAGCTGTATACTATACTTTTTATTTAACAAAACATTTCTTAAAAAATAAAAAAAAGCAATTGACTTAAAAAAAAAAAACTATTGTCATGTATCAAAAATATGCACAGTAATCTGTCGTGGCTAAAGATCTCCCGGATCATCAGTTAACTACACATAAATGGAGAGTTCATCTCCCATTAAAGCAATGTTGTAAAAAAAAAACATTAAAAAAAATGAAAGCAAATAAAACCGTAAGCAAATGAAAGCAGGTGAAACATACCGTGTGTGATAAAAAAAAGAATGATCACATGCTCACGATTAACTTTAGGCCATTTGATAATCTGTTCAAAATGAAAGCAACCGCTGCTGCTTACAATAAGACACATTTTGAGCTCTTAAAAGCATCAGGACTGTGGGTGCATGTTCATCACTTTTTGTCTAGTTTATTTGAAAGAGAACCGATGACAGTTGCGTTTCCAGAACCTGTTCCAGACACGGTTTCTTCACGATTCGGGAGCGCGCACACGTTAAGCAGTCGCGCGCACACGTTTTAAGCAGTCGCGCGCATTACATCAGCTGTTAGCGCAAGCGATCATCATCCTCTCATTCGGTATTTATTTGCTTTCTTCTGCTCGTGTGATCACAATTATTTTACTTTTCGATTCTAAGATCACATTTGCACGCAAATTGGGTCATCCTATATATATATATATATATATATATATATATAGAGAGAGAGAGAGAGAGAGAGAGAGAGAGAGAGAGAGAGAGAGAGAGAGAATTCACATTACTTACTGGAGGTGATAGTGGATCCAGTTGTTATATCTGGACTTGCAGTGGAAACCACCTGTGAAATGTTGCTGACGTCTTATTAAAACGCAAAACAAATTAAAACACACATTACTGGATAGCCATTACTGCAATCTTGTGGAAGAGAGAACAGTACCTGTGCAGTATCCTGAACACCAGCTTTGTGGATTCACAAGTTCATACACATAATAATTTCCTGGACAGGCTTTCACTCTGATGGGTTTTGTCTTGAAGTCACAGCTGCCGCCCCAGTAATTATTACCGCAGACTTCTCTGATCACCACTCCATCCTCTATCTGAGGATGATGACCATTGAGCCATAGACCTACGTATGCATTACAGCTGTATAAAGTAGTACAGGTCTCCGGCATCTGTATGTTCATTCCATTGTAGAAAAGCCTGTACCAGCCACTCCAGGAGAAAGTTTCATCACAAATGTAATCCCCAGTTAAATTGTTGCCTCTCCAGGGGCGATCCAGAGACTCATAGTTGTAGCAGGGGTCACTGCTGATGCTTGGGAAAGCAACTGTTATGGAGAGTTTGGAAAATTAAGGATTAAATACTGCATACACATGGAAGTTTAGAATATTACAACCAAAAACACAATAATGACTATAACTATAATGACTATAACTATAATATATATGACTATAATAACTTTTATAAATTTCAGTAGTTCATTTTGAATCATTGATGGCATATAGGAGTTTGTACATTCACTTCACAGCCCAGCGATATAAGAGGTAGCATCTCTGAATAAACTAAATTAACTGCCCAAATGGTCAAGCATTTTAGGCTAAAGAATGGATTTCAGATCCAAAAGCACTGTGTGATATAAATTCAAAATGATCAAATACAGTTTGCATATTAAGGGCCCTATCATACACCCGGCGCAATGTGGTGTAAGGCGCGGCGCAATACTCTTTTGCTAGGGTCATTTTGAGGTGTTGCGCCACGCTGTTTAAATAGCAAATGCATTTGCGCTCAAATGTGCGCCCAAAAAGCAGGCATGTTTTGGCCAGCCTGATCTCACGAGAAAATGTAAGTATTTTACGTTTTGCCAGTTTAGTGGCTAATTCGTACGAATTCGTACGAGTTCAGTCGTACGATTTTAAAAAGGAGCCGTGGCACCTGACCCCTCCCCTAACCCCAACCGTCATTGGGGGACAAACAAATCGTACTAAATTGTACGAATTAGATCATACAAATTCATACGAATTAGCCACTAAATGAAAAAGTTACAAATTGCCGTGAGATTGTGTTGGTTTTGGCGCGTTGCTATTTTGAGAAACTGTAAATAGTCTGATTTTTAGACCAGAACAAAATCGGTCTATTGTCTGGCGCAAAGTGCGCCTGGCTTACACACTACACACAAGATGCAGAGCAATACACAAATATCTTTACATATGAAAAATATATAATATCTTAAGGAGATATATATATATATATATATATATATAAGGATATATTTATATCCTGATATATACAGGATATAAATATAAATGATTAAAATATTACAAAACATATTAATTTCTAGCCTACATGATGATTTAAAAACCACTGGCTTACTTTCTTCATCTCGGGAGGCTTTTTCTGTTCATTCGATTTGCTTTTGTATAATGTTATTATTTTTAGCAGTATTATTTATTATATCCATATTTATATTTATTTTATTAAAAACAAGCTTAGATTTGCCCACTTGTCAGGTTTTAGACCAAATGGGGCACAGCATGTGTTTTAGGATATAACTCAGGTTTTTGAGCACACTTTGTTATTATTGTTCATTTATTCGTTTGCTGGAAATTAAAACTGAATTTAGAAATAGTTTTAAAAAAATCTTTGCGCTTAACAAACAAAGTTAATTATTTATAGGCTAATTGATGTCTGTGCGTAAAGGTTTCCCTATCTACGAGAGCAAAAGCGAAAGTGAACTTACTTTACATAAAAATGCGCTTATGGCGCGACGCAGCTGGCTCTTAAAGGGAATGGGAGATGAGGTCCTAATTGGTTTATTCTCAAAACACACCTATAACTCATTAAGAAAATAAACTCAACCCTTTTAGACCATGCGCCTTGGCGCAAAGCAGATTTTCCCGTCCGTAAATTAGCAGAAATGCGTTCTGACACACCCTGAAAGCGTTTGTGCCCTGCGCATGGACCGTCAAAATAGAGCCCTAACTGTTTAAAGTAGTGTAAAGCTGTGATTTTAAGAAGCTGAATAAATATTTTGAGCATTATGTAAATGATAGATAGGTGTATGCGGTGATCTGCTGAATTATCAATGAATTGCACACAACTGGTTTAACCTTTAATTTCTTTAAGCAATTTAACAAAACGGTCCTACTTTATATTAAGTGGCCTTAACTAATAGGTACTTACACATGATTTAATAGTTTGTTACAATGTACTTATTGTGTAAATACATGTATTTACTGTGTACTTATGCTTGATTAAATACGTTTGTGGTTACATCTGTGACTAACATCTGTAATTACATTTGTAAATACACTGTTGACCATCCCTTACACCTTAACCCACCCTTAAACCTACCCATACCACCAAACCTGTCCATAACCCAACCTCTATCCCAACTCAAAAGCACCACAAGTGTTCTCAAATACATTTTAAAGAAAGTAAGTACATTGTATTTATTTTTTTGATGTAAGTACATAGTAGTTAAGGACACTTAATATAAAGTGGGACCAACAAAACAAATATCACATTGCACCTGCACAGTATGAAGGTCTGGGAATCGACAGATCTGGCCTGACGAGTTCATAGACGTAATAATCTCCTGGACAGGCTTTGACTTGGATGGACGTGGATCTGTATTTTCCACACTGGTTATACTGTATACGACTTCCCAAAACATCCCGGGTCACCACCCCATCCTCAAGTGTTGGATGAGAACCGTTGAGATACAGTCCAGTGTAACCACCACAGCTCATATCAGTCACACACCACTCAGACATCTGGGCACTTTGTCCACTCAGATACAGCCGATACCAGCCGCTCCATTCAAGTAGTGTGTCATCACGGTCATTGTAGTACATTGGTCTTATAGTTCGCCAAAAATTATTCAGAGTGTTGTATTGATAACATGGGTCAAAGCTGGAAGTAGTATATAGGCCTGCTGAGAGAATCAAGACAATAAAGAGAGTGTTATACAGTGTTGACCTAAACCAGAGGTCACCAACATGGTGCCCTTGGGCACCAGGTAGCCCGCGAGGATCACGTGTTGCCCGCAGGCCTGTTCTCAAAATAGCTCACCATGGTGCCACTTACCAGTTAGCTCCATCTAATATAGAAATGATCATTTAAAAATATAAATATTTGCAGAGAAATATAAAAATAAAGTGTTGCACATTGACACATTAAATACAGGGTATTTCCTACCCTGTTAAATCATTGTTGATAACTTTTGTGAGAATCATTAACATGATCAGTGTCTTCACATGGATGAATATCATTAATTATTACCAAAAATATAAAGTATAATTAAAAGTAAATTGAGCAAATTTGTTATTTGAGAAGTGTTTATCAACCTGTTAGCCCTCCACATTAATCGGTACCCAAAAAGTAGCTCTCAGTTTCATAAAGGTAGCGGGGAGGTAAGACACGTGTCGCCTGGGAGGAAGGATTACATCGTGGCTGAGTAAGCATATGGGATCGCCAGCAGGGATCCCATATCGTAACCATATGGGATCGCACATAGCGGGCACTTATACCCAGAATGCGGGCTGACCAGTGGGTATATATATATATATATATATATATATATATATATCCATTCTTCAAGTTGCAATCAGCCTTCAGATTGACTTTTTTTTTTTTTTTTTTCACTTCAACCCTATTCTATTAAAGTCTTACATTTTACCATAAATCTGTCTTGTTTCAAAAACATAAAACTTGTGTTGTTTTATTTGCTGAAAGTGCAAATACTAGAAGTAATTAGCAGTCACTTTATTTTTAAACTGCAATAAAGCATGCACTGTAAAAAAAAAAAAAAAAAAAAATTTACTGAAAATATCCCTAATTTTTTTACAGTAATTTTTGGTCATTTAAAATTATATGTAGAACTTAGTAAAATAACAACCAATCTTTCTAAATTCACAGTTTGACTTTCATTTTAGGTACTTTATCATTAAAGACAAATTACTGAAATTTATGTTTTTAAATAGGGAAATTACAGTATTATTTATTCAGTATTTTTTCTGTTACTTTAAATTATATTTAAAAATCCGTAAAATTACAAACATTATCTGTAAATTAACAGCTTGACTGTTATTTTATGTACTATATAAGTAATGACAAATTACAGCAATTTGTCTGTTTAATACAATAAAATTGCCGTATTATGTACACAGTGTTTTTTTACTGTTTTTATAAAATACATTTAAAATTACATAAAATGAAAGTTATAAATTGTAATTACTTGCCTGTAAAAAATTTTTTTAAAAATCGTAAAAAAAAAAAGGTCAAATGACTGCAGCTACGGCTGCCAAACAAAAACCATAAAATTATGGTAAAATTTCTTTGTTGAAATAAAGTAAAATAAACAAAAGAAAATTAAAAAAGAAAAAAAAATTAAAAAGAAATTTTACCGTAATTTTATGGTTTTTGTTTGGCAGCCGTAGCTGCAGTCATTTGACCTTTTTTGCGTTTTTTTTTCTTACAGTGTGGTGTTTGTGTTATACTTGCTATTCTTTAGTTCATATTGCAGCAATGTTGCATATTAACACTTATATTGCTACTGATGATACCCACATTAATAAAAAAAGATCTCTCCTTTAACAGACGCACAGAGAGCTCACATCATACTGTTCAGTTACTAAAAGGGACAGTTCGGTTAAAAATTAATTGCTCTTCCTCGTCCTGTCTTTTGCTTCATGTAGAATTTTAAGGACTTACTAATTACTCCAACAATATCTCACGGCAATTAGTAAAGTTTTGATTTAGTGGCTATTGCTTATGAATTTTCTGTAATCTCACTCATACAATTTAGTACGCTTTGCTCATCCCTCAATAATGATTGGGTTTAGGAGCAGGGTTTGGTGCCACGTCAACTTTTAAAAATCGTCCATTTTTGATGAAACATCATACTTTTTTAGTATGAATTAGTGCAAATTAGCCACTAAAATGACAATTTTTTATGTAGTTACATTTCCTCATGAGATCAGACTGATTACTCACTCTCAAGTGATTCCAAACTATTTTAAGATTTTATTTCCTTGTTGTTATTTTTATTTTTCTGTTTCATTTTCTTGTTAAAATCAAAATGTTGGAAACAGTCGAGTGAAATTTGAAAACTGAAAGTTGGAAATAGCCATTTGGATTGATAAAAGTACATGAATAAAGTCATATTACTGGTTTCCAATATTCTTCAGTGTTATCTTGTTGTTTATTTAGTAAATGTTACTATATCTTACAGAGTTACTATAACTGTGTTTAATTTTGATCAGATGTGCAGCCTTAGTATATATAAACCTGATGTTTGCCAGTGTTTGTCAAGTAATTTATTCCTTTAGCTCTTTAATATCAACATTTTATATTTAAAGTAAAGGATAGGGATAGGAAGAAATAAAAATAGAAAGTGAGAAAGTTATTGTACCTGTTGTCTGTCCATTGGTTATTTCACCTGTTAATTAAACAATATTTTAATTATTTTGCAGCATTTTTAAAGTCAATTCAGATTGAAAAGGTCTCATTATATAAAAGTCTCACCATGAATCAGGAGCAGCGACACACACAGTAAGATGAAAAACTTCATAGTGACGGATGACACCTGCACACACACATCATAAATTTATATGAAATGTTTTTGTAGATTTATTTTTAATTATTACAACAATTTGAATTAATGTTCACAAATAATTAAAATGAACATTTTACTCAATACGTTTGACCTGTTAAAAGCAGAAGAGTCTTTAAAGTGTGTAAATAAAAGAAGTATTTACCTGAGGTCAGATGTTGCAGCAGAGCAAAACTCAGGCAGATGATGATGATGATGATGATCAACACAGAGATGATGATGATCAACTGCAGATCCTCTAGTCAAGTCCGTGCCTTTAGTAAAACCTGTGGGTTGACCTTTATTGGAACCAGTACATTTCTAAAAACAACCTTAAACCAGTTATTCATTTTCATTTATCTGTGATCAGAATGTTTGTGATTTAAGTTGATTGACTTCTGCATTTGTCTGCAGTCACTGTGACGTTCTTTCACTTTGTGCTTGAACTCTCAGGCATCCGTACAAAAACAGAACCTCAAGACTTTAGTAAATACATAAAAAACACTTTCATTTGTGTGAATAATGGATCTTGGTTATAAAAACACTGAAGGCATGCAGGTGGCAGAGTAAGATGGTGTGCCAGTTAAAAGACGTGCAGCTGCATTCTGAACAAGTTGCAGTCGAGAGATAGAAGGCTGACTCTCCTCAAAATAAAGGCCATTGCAGTAGTTCAAGCGGGAGGTTATAAAAGCGCGGATTACTCTGTTAAAGTGCTTGTGTGATAAAATGTCCTTAATTTTGGCCAGTTGTCTCAAGTGAAAGAAGCTAGAGCGAACAACAGACCGAATCTGGCTTTCAAGCTTTAGTTCAGGCCACTTTATTCAGTACACATTACTTACGTATTTCAAGGAACTATTTTTACACCGTATAAATCTTTCACCACATCAACTTAAAACAACATGGTCACTGTCCACTGAGATCATTGCTGACTGATCAAGATAACATCAAGAAACAAATAACTATGTCTATTTTTCGAAATAAAAAGTCAGGAAGATACATAAACATGCATGCTGCAAAAATACAACTGTGCTTTTACATAACAGACCGTTCAGGAAGTTACAGAAAATATTACAAATGATTTTAATAATTTTTTGCATTCTACTTCAATCTTACTGCTCTGACATAAACACACTGAAGCATCAGCCTCTTACGTGTTCCCGTTACATTACATAAGATGTAGCAACATTCAATGAGAGCCAACATTGCTGTGAATAATGAGTAATGTACTGTTCTGACATGACTTTTAAAATAGATCTGTTTCGCCCAACTTTTACGTTTCATTTTCTCTTCAGCTAAGACCTAGAACAACAAAAATATGGTGGGATTTAAGCAATAACGTGAAACCTTAACAGAGAACAACACAACCAGTACATCAACATTCTGCATAACCTTTAGAACTGAAAACACAAACACACTGATCGCATTTAAATACCAGCATTATGAAAAATAAACAAAACGATCGCAAGGATTTTACACTAGCTGTAATCATTCTTTCATACCCTGCGATGAAGTAAGTGGCTCCAAAAAGCAGATTATGAAGCCATCTTGGGTTAATTAAAAAACAAATCTTTCCATTTACTCCTGTTTGCTCTCTTCATGTCAGATTACTGTTACTCTCTCTCACTGTGAAATGGTTAGCATTAGCGCTTAAAGCAAACTTTCACATTCTCTTTGTAGCAGCTGAATGTATTAAGATGAACTGCAGGTCTCACAATTGCAATCCTAACAGGCCATGGTCATTTCTCATGCAAATACAAAAAAACACCAGCAAATGAAGAAAAGATCTTCATGTAATCAGGAAGTGAAAATAAAAAAAATAAATAAATAAAACTGTCATTCAAAGTTCAACTAAAAACTGACAGAGCAATAGTCATGGCACAACATGGAAATCCCAGCCAGGTCCGTCACATTTTTTTGAGCTCCTCTTTAGAGGTATGACAATGAATTATTTCTTCGATGCAGATGCGAATAATTTGGTATTGGTTCAGTAATAATCATAACCAGTGGTGGAAAGAGTACTGAAAAAGCATACTTAAGTAAAAGTACCATTACTTAATATGCCAGTGATTATGCTTAACAAAAGTTGCAGACGCCTTTACCAATATCAAAATGCTTTTGGAAACAACCAGTTATTCTTTACACCGATTAAAAAACGGTTACTATAATAAAGAAAATCTTTTCTAAATGAAGAACTAAATACATTGATTTGCATTGAAATACATGATGAATACTCTTGTCTTGACAAATGAAAGTGTAAAGCCTGCAGCTCACAACAAATGTTAAAGGTTATTGCGTGTCATATTTAACAAACCGTTTACTGCTAATTTGATGTAATTTTGCTCACATGGATAATTGAATATGAATCAGATGATGTCATTACGCTGCTGTGCCGTCAGCCAATCGTTGCACTGCTGATCATGATTTCGAGGATCGATAGATCTGTCCTTAACAACAAACGCAGCGATCTCAGATCAGTTCATCCAGACATTCTAATCTGATTCACGAAC